TTATAATAATTAAATTTATATACTTGTATTACTTATAATATAAATCATACTTTACATTTAGTTATATGTTCTATTATTTCCCTTGTAATTCAAATGCTTTTAATATCGTTGTTTTCATAAATTTACAAACATTGGTTAATATTGCATAAATGATTTTTAAATTGATAATAAATTGTTGATAATTTGTTTTTACCTAATATTTTCTTAATTAGAACTGAAAAAGGTAGGGATAATCAAGTATAAGAATCAGTTTCATGAATACAAAGAATTAAGTTCTTGTTTAATATATTTGGTATTTATAATACATGAAAAATTAAAGTAAATAAATATTTAGTTAAAAGTACTAAATAGAATATTTATTATTGATAATATTTTTTAAACTATTAGATTCCATTGGAACATCTGCTTTTAATTAATTTAAATTTTACTATCTTCACTTCTTTCAATAGTGTATAGATGTACATTTTTTATTTCATTATAATAATAATACGATATGAACAAATTGTTTATTTCTTCTTTTACCATATCTTCATTATGTGTACGTAAGTAAATGCAGGTGCAATTTTATTAGTACTTTGCATTAGAAAATTCCATATCAATTTTCTTATATAATGATACGTTTCATAAAGCTTTATAAAATAAATAATTTTGAAACATTATCTTTAAAATAATAATGAATATAAATTACTCTCATCATGTCACAGATGACTATAGTTAAAGCCAAATGTATTGGCCGGTCACGTAGTTTTCTTCTCAACAGTTTTTCGGTCCCTCTTTTGCCGTTCGGCAATTAACGGCAATTAATACAAATGCTCACGCGCCACGCTATGTATAAAGTTACACGTGAATAGATATAACGAGAGTAAACAAGACGCGGCACTTTAAGGGGATATTGCAATGTTACAATAAATATCCAATAACGAAAATTTCAATTTCTGTCATTTTCATCTTATCCTTATGAAAATAGTAACAGTGGATTGGTGAGGTTGTTGCAATGAAAATGAGTTCAAACACGACATAAGTCGAACTGAACTTAACAGTGTTCTTAAAAATTGTCGTACGTCTCGTTTCCGCTTTCCGAGATATTTAAACTAATTACTGGTAACACCGAACCGATTAATGTTGTGTTTGGACTCATTCTTATCAAGAGAATCTCATTAATTTATTGGTACTATTTTCATAAAGAAACATTGTAACACAGGTGGTTTCCTTTTCAAGTGTCGCATCTCGACTGTCGTTAGTTAACGTACTACGTCTATCTCGAGGAAGCATATTGCCAAAAAAAGACAGATGAGAGTTATACCTTCATAAGACATAAGGTGAATAGATTATATTGCCACCCGAAGTAAAACAAAGATCGCGTTATAAAACATATACGCCTATGCGCCTACGATGTTGCCTTTTGAACCACTACATATGCATATAGGTCTCGCTTGGCATGTTCGTCGGTGTGGAAAAGCGGCTGAAGAGAAATCCACGTGACCGACCAATACCTATGGCTCTGACTATATGTACTAAACCAGTGAAAGATCTTCGGGTCGTCGATTTAGTTGAGACTGTGAATATTAGTAGATTTCGTCATTGTGTTTACGAAAATACCCGATTATAGGGACAGATACTTATTATTTTTCAAAATATTTATAAATGAAGTTTTAATACCCTGTGTAGTAAGAAATGACATATATAATAATCATTAATTTATGTATCGTCAGTTGAAGCGCTAGTGTCTGCAACGGGTTTGTAGTACCGTTAGAACGTGTGCCACTGCCACGGTGCAGTTCTTACTGTGATTTTGAATATTTTTTTATTAATGACAACCGTCCAAAAACGTATAATTATTGTAATACAATTGAGATTTGTTTTTTAACGCATAGGAAATTATTATTTTTATATTAAATACACAATAAATTAAATATTTA